CACACAATAGTAATACAGGAGTTGTGTGAAGTCGCGCACGTATGCAGTGTATGGGCCACTGTATGGACACTCAGCTGACGATATGTTTACTAACGTTAAGCACTGTTTTGTTTCATACGTTTTCATACAATTCACTCAACACTCGCTTTAATTATCATTAATTCACATAACATTTGGAAATCACTAAACATTGCATTCATTTAATGATAAGTAAAGCAAAGTTTAAATATTGATCTCAAGACGAGACAAAGTGTAAGACATTCCCGAAAAACAATTGATCCGATCGTCGATCATGTCATTGGTTGACCAAAACGATGACAAGTATTCATTTGATTGACATTTATATCGCGAAACAAATTAATTGATTGTTTGATTGACACGATTAGTGTATTCCTGGATAACAGCGACTCCAATGGTTCAGACAATGCTTTGGCGTTAATCCGCGATGTCTTTGACGGAACCGATGATCTGATGGACACTGAGTTGGAGCGAGCGTTAGGTTTGTGATCACCAGTTGTCACACCATTTGGCCATTGATTGTGATTTAATGAATGATTGGTTTTGTGCAGAGAATGGCATTCAGACGATAGTCATTGAAGCGCATCGTTTGGGCGAAGAGACGGCGCGTTGGATATCAATCGGCAATTGTCTTCACAAGACTGCGGTAATGACGGGAATCGGATCCATATTGACGGGCATTATATGGCCCGAGAAGAGGAGTACTCAGTGCTGTTTGACGGGTATAAGTCTATTGACGAATGGCATACACTTCCTCTCGTGGCAAATGGACGAGTGTTCGCACTATAGGGTGGAGACCGACGCCCGTAAGGTTGCGGACACTTGCGCTCATTGGCCGACGTTTGACAAACCTGTGGTCCTCACCAAACGTACCGCACATGAGATGAGACGGAATCATATTTTTCAAACTGCAATCTCTTTGATAGCGTTAGCCTTCACTGCTTTCAAACTCTATAAATCTTTTAAATTTACTAAAATTATTGTATAAAACAAAAACATCCAATATTTTAATATGTTATGAATTGTCATTACTTTTAGTATTGCTTTTCATTAATAGTATAAAACAAATGTCTAATTATTCTTACAATCACTTAATAAAACGAATTAACAATATTTGTGTCCATCTCTGGATCGGTATAAAGAATATAAAGAGTATGTATTCATAACATTCAATCAATTTTTGGTCTCTTTTTTGGCCCTCTTTTTCATTAAATAGAAATAAATGTTTGGAAATATAAATCTCAACAAAATGGCAATCTTTGGGAGTAATGGAGACACAAGTAATTGTTTGTCTTTCCTAATGATAGCCATGAGAATACGTTTGGCCACATCTTCGGGTTCATCGCCCGATGCTGTGGTCTTATCCATCTGACCGTATGTATCGCCCGAACCTGTTATGGCATTCATCGAGAGATTGGTTTTTATATAACCGGGACTTATGACCAAAACGGAGACATCAGTTGCAAACAGTTCTGCGCGAAGACTATCGCAAAACGCTTGGAGAGCGTGTTTAGAGGCGGTATATGCGGACCTATAAGGGAGGGCTAACTGGCCCTGAATGCTGCTAATGACCACTATTTGGCCCATATTTCTTGCAATCATTGACGGAAGAAATGCTTTGAACGAGAAATAAGTATTGATTAGTCAAAAGTGGTCTCAATTTGAAAACAAATGAAACCTTTAATGAGAGCCAATTGTCCGAAATAGTTAACGAGCATTACTTGACGGTCGACATCGACGGTAGTGTCGATAACACTTCCTCTATAACTGATGCCTCCGTTATTGATAATCACATCAACGCTTCCGTAAAAACTGAGCGCTTCCTCGGCGTACGATTCCATGTCTTCAAGTTTCGAGAGATCCAGTGCTAAGACTTTGGGCTCAAACAAGTCATCACTCAATTGGTTACTTGAGATGAGCCGCTCTTTCACTTCATTCAATTGGTCTACTCTTCGCGAAGAGAGAATAAGTCGAGCGCCAGATCTGTATAAGACTTGAGCCAAAGCTAATCCAAACAATTAATCGATATAAGCGTTGAATTGCAGAAAACATGGTATAAATGGTAGACCTGTTCCGAGTCCCGAAGAAGCGCCGGTAATGACCACGACTTTGCCTTTCAATGGTTTGCTTTGAATTAATCGCTTATAAACGCGAAGTCTGTATAACTTAAGGGCAAAATACGGCACAACTATTGCCAATAATATTGATTTGAAATCATAAAAAGCACTCAAACTCTTCAAACCATTCATCGCTTCAATTCATACAAAATGTTTGTCAACATTGGAGTCATGTATTGACTGTCATTACAATGTAATGATTACATCATAACTGCTTTACTCTTTCACTGCATATACAGTCAATGAATAGCAAATCTTTTAAATCTTTTAAAAAATCTTGAATATTGGAAATTGTTATGAAATTAAAAAAATGTTTTTTAATTATTAATTTTAAATTTTTAAAAAATTATTAATTCAAAAAATGTGGAATTTTATATATTTTATTCGACATGTTTTTAGAAGGAATTTATTAAAATCTTATATTTAATTAATTTATATAAATTAACTATTGGACAATTAATAAAAATACAACTAACTTATTAGTAATAAGTTATTACTAATAAGGCATTCAAAATAAAATAATACAAATAAAATAAAATAGCTTCTATTAGTTGTACTTTTATTGATGGTTTAATAGTAAATGTATAATTTTGTAAAAATCAACGAGTTTAGTTAATTATTTCAACATTTTTCTAACATCACATACTGTTAAATTAACTTTTAAAACAAAAATCGACAAATTTAACCATGTTGAACATTTTTCTAACGTAATACGTATGTCCATTAATATTTATCCTATTCATATTTCTTCTCTCTCTCTCTCTCTCTCTCTCTCTCTTTCTCTCTCTCTCTCTATGTGTTTTATAAGAATATTGAAGAAATCTGTGTCTAATTTGACGTTAAATTTCTCCAATAAACCCAAAATAACATCTTCTGATTCTTCTCTCTCTCTCATCGATGCTTATTGTTTGAATATTGTGTCCAATTCTTATATAACTTTGATTGTGATGTCATTAAAAAGTTGCAAATATAGGGTTGTATAGAATATATTTAAGCCATTACAATTTGTTCATGATTGTGTTGGGGAATCAAACATGCATAATAAAGCATGGTGATGCTAATGATGATGATAAATAAAATGCGTGGTAAAGAAAATACATGTTGATAATTCATAATAATAATTAAAATGAAAGTCTTAAGCGATGAGAACATTGTCCTGGAGTTGATTTGAGAGAAGTTGGCCTTCAGTTTGCTGTTCATAGGAATGCAGTGAAAGCTATACTCCATTGACTGATATTCCCTTTTTTGGCCAAAAGGCAGAGACGAGAGACGAGTTACTCTATCGTCACGTTTCCGATTTGAAAAACAATTTTCATTTTTTATTCTTTATTTAACAAATATATTACACAATCAATACATATATCATAACAAACAATAAACACTCACATAATTAGTTGATTTAAAATATTTGCAAATTCTTAGTGCAATAAAATCTAACACATTTAATGCATAGAAATACAAACTATTTATTAATAAGCGGTTTTCTAATTTATAAAACTAATACTTTGATTATTTTATGACTAAACATAACAATTTGCTGATTATTATTGAAAACAAATTAACATAAATTAATAAAAACAGTTTAATTGTCGTATAATTTAACGTTTAAATGGAAAAATATAACAAAAATGAAATTATCATAAAGTTATTAATAAATAAGTCTAGAAAAGTAGTCGAAAGCAATTGAAAAGCAAAAATATCTAGTGTTGTATTGACAAAAATATGGGTCATTTGTGCAAAAGAATAGTTGAATTTTATTAGTTTTAAATTGTCAACAAAATAATGTTAACTTTAAATGCATAACCTTAACACTCGTATCATAGAATATAGGCTTCAGAGCACCACAATCTCATAACAATCAACATTTTGATACACTTTCTATAGTTCTGTCATTTAAAACATTGTCTTTTGCACCGAATATATAATATAATACATAAATTTGAAATTCAAAAACATATTTAAAAAGTAAAATAACTGATTAGGACTCAAACAGCTGTCTCTTTGCGCTGACAATTGTTGGCAAGACTTTGGTTTTTGGTATTTTCATTACAAACTTTCACTTGAATTTTGCCGTCATTTACTATTACAGGCGCTTCTGTTGCCTCTGACTTCAAATGCGAGCTTTGGTTCGTCTCACCAGATGTGGGCTCTGGAGTGGAAGACACTTCCATCGGTTCCACCGTTGATTCATTACCATTAATAGGACCGGAATTTTCACTCTTGTTGTTGTTATCAAACACTTTACTTTCCAATAAAGTGATACATTTATTAACAGCAATGACGGCTCCTTTACGAGCTTTTCTCACTTCTTCGTTGCCGTCGGTCTCAATGGTGTCCAACTTAATCATACATCGCGTCAACATCTCATCCAAATATTTATACTTCTTATCATTAGCCGTTCCATTAAATCCATTCACTTCCGACTCATACTTCTTGAGATCACTTAAGGTGTTGTGAATTGATTCCAATGGATTCACTTTTACGACAACCTTTTGGTCACATTTGTCGGTGGACTGAGAGTCGGATAGAGTTTCAGTCGGTTGTGTGACTGGTATTCGTGTGACAAAAGGACCGGACTTTTGTTTCTTTGAGGAGTCAGTGGTTTGTGACAAACCATTCCCATTGGGCTTTGCGTTGGTTTCTATTGTGACTCCGATCTGATGGACACGCGGTTTGCTATCAGTTGAAGCGTTCGAGTGCTCCGACGACACGCTCTTCGCAGGACTGGGCGAACGGTTGTCAGCCTTTGTGTGTCCAGTGCTGGCGCTGTTGGCACTCGAATGACTCGACGAATGACTCGACGAACGACTCAACGATTGAGGATTCGGACCATTGGATTCAGAGGTATAACCAGAACTCGTGGACCCGTTTCTGGGCTCAACACTAATGGGAATGTGATGTACTCTCGGCTGTACTCCAGACGCTTGTCCTGAACTCGAGTCCATTGGACTCGAATGGAAAACACTTCCAGCACTTCTAGCGCTTCCACTGCTATGAGATGTATCACTGCTTTTATGACTTTGAGACGAAGACATGGATTCACTCTTCCTCTCGTTGGCCTCGGGATTAGACATATCATCGGATTTCTCGTGAACTACTTGAATAGGAACCCCTTCTTCCTCTTCGGTCTCAGATCTCTTGGAATTGTTATTAAAGTTTTTGTACTGAAATTGAATCAAATAATGAACAAAACATTGTTAAGAGATGTAAACGCAATGACAATGACTTACGATTGGGTGATCATTGAGTCGGTCTGACCACCGATTGCCGAGCGAAGAGTCTCTAAACATTTGGTTCGGGTTTTGCGACAACTGGTCGAAGCGTTTGCGGAAGTCTTGTAGTCTTGACTCCGGATCTAATGGCGAGAATCGGTCAAAACGATTGTTTTTGAAACTCATGTCAACACAGATGTAGTGATCGGACAAATGAGGGATCAATTAAAGCGATTGTATTTTGTTATGAAGTTATGGCAAACGAATAGTGCGTTCAAACAGTTATAGCCTTCACTTCAATGACAACTGAATGCAAAACCAATTCTCAAACACTTTATAACACAGAAAGGAGTGGTTTATTAGAGTTATGCCTTTATTACATCATTATATGCATTGCAAACTCGCAGCCAATCAGCGATCGCTTCGGCCACCAATTGGCCAATAGGAGACACATTCTAGAAAGTGCTCGTCATTACCACACATTCACACCACGTGACCACACATTGCATTCAATGCAATACTGCTATGAATTCCGTATAAATAGTTTCATTCATAAAACAAGGAGTATGTGTAAGAATTGCAGCATTCAGTACAGTATACAGTATGTACAGGCCATATCAAGAATGGAAAGTAATGAAAACTCTCATAGTAAACCATTGATTTTCATTTTAGCGCAAAATGACCACAATTTTCTCGGGAAATATCGGAGTTAATTAAACCAAAATTTTATGGCTTACAGTCAACTATCCTAGCTATTGTTTGTGAGAATTAAAATTAAATTCAATTACCCAACCTTCCGTAAATTACATTTTCCCNTTACCCAACCTTCCGTAAATTACATTTTCCCGTGGGTATACTTTCCATAGAATATAATGTAAAATTGTTTAAAATATTAAAATATTCTATTGTTTTCACAAATTTACAATAAAATTAACGGGTGATATTACTTTTTAGATATTATTATAACTTCGTGATCTAATGTTTATAAGATAATATTTAACCCTAATATCTGATTAAATTCTACCATAATTATTAAATTATAAAAAGCATGGTGTTCAATGTAATTGTATAGGTATACCCATGTTAAAATATAATTTACTGACCGTTGGGTAATTGAATTTAATTTTAATTCTCACAAACAATAGCTAGGATAGTTGACTGTAAGCCATAAAATTTTGGTTTAATTAACTCC